TTGCATTTATTTATTTATTTATTATTATTATTATTTTAGTTGGAGTCTTACTTTGTCGCCCAGGCTGGAGAGCAGTGGCAAGCTCACGGCCACCTCAGCATTGACCTGCTGGGCTCCGGCAATCCTTCCGTCTCGGCTTTCCAAGTAGTTGGAATGACAGGCGCGTGCTACCACGCCAGGCTAATTTTTTATTTACTGTAGAGACAAGGTCTTACCATGTTGCCCAGGCTGGTCACAAACTGCGGGCTCAGGCAATCCTCTCACCTCAGCCTCCCAAAGTGCTGGGATTACAGACTTGGGCCACCGCGCCTGGCCTGCATTTATATTTATTTACCACGTGCAGGTACTTAACATGTATTAATGCATTAAATCTTCACACAAATCCTATGAGGTAGGTATTAATCTTATTTTCATTTTATAAGAGGAAGAGGTAAGACACAGAAGGACCAAATACCCTGCCTCACATCACAGAGCTAGCAAGTGGCAGGGCTAGGACTTGTGCCCTAAAAGTCTGACTCCAGAGATTGGGATTTAATTATGAATGCTCTACCACTCCCAATTAGAAGTTAGTTCACTTGTGCCACATTAGTTTAAACAAACATGCAACTATGCTCTATCACCAATCCAAAGTCTAATTTCGAAACTATTTAAGAAAGGTTTTGCAACTATGAACTGACATGATAGAACTCGGTATTTTGCTGATGTCTCAAGGTGAGAGGGAGGTAAATGCCAGTCATAGCACAGGATACAGTTAAAGACCCTTTTATTGAATGCAGGCAGAGAAATCTAGACAGGATAAGAACTTGAAATTAATTTCACTGATTAGGGTTGGGTAGATGTTATAGGAAATAGAGGGTTACAAGAACTTGGAGTCATTCCAGCTCAGCAGGCCAGATGTGATAAAACAATGAGCAGCTGTGTGTCTGTCTGGAAGCGTGGGGGGATGGGAGTATCCCTCCATGGGAATGAAATACCTCCATCAAGAATCCAGGAAAGGTGATCTCAGTCTCTTTCAGTTCATGTTCTCCTATTCTAGCCTCGGCCTTCCCAGTTATGCTTTTTAATTGGTTAGTTTATTGTTTGTTTTGTTTTACCAGTTTGCCCAATTTCTGTTCCTGGGACCAGGCTGAAGGCATTTCCCTCACGTCAGTGAGGAAGTGAAGTCTTTTCTGGGTTTCTGATTTTCCTTCTCTGAGTCCTCTGACCTCAGTTCAGCCTGAGTCTCCATCATTTTACACAAAAAATTACCTTTGGTCTAGAATTTCAGTGGTATTTCACTCAGTTTTGCAACTCCTCTGTTCCGCCTCACCTCCACCCCCATCTGAGAAGAAATAGAAGTTCGCTTTATTTCTTGTTCTTCTTTTAACCTACCAGACAATGAAGTATTCCATGGAGCACCACACCAGTGAGAATGCATCTAGGATCACATTTTTAAAACTGTTTTGTGGAAGAGAAAAATTTCAGGAAAAAATCAGTAGAGACGGTGGTAAAAAGCATATTTGGGACACTTTCATTTCATTTCAACAGTTTTCAAGTTTCTTAGAGCTTGGTGGTATAGTAGGCACCGGGGGTTATATCAGTGACCAGTATTTATTTAAAAAAACAAAAAGCCAAAAAAAAAACCTAAGACAGAAAAGATGTCATAATATATAATCTCATTTGAAAATTAAAGGCTCTAAGGCTTCCAGAAGTAATTTTATGTAAACAATTTTTCCCAACCTATTTGAATAATAGAAACCTCTCTTTTTCCCACCACTTGGAAACTCTGCTTGAGAAATGCCCCAGTGCTATATATATATCATTTGCCCACTACCTATATTCAAGTTCTCATACTTTAGAGGAAGAAGACGTGGGTATGCATAACATATTAAGAACTAAAATATAGAGAGAATATTTGGCAGCACAGAAAAGAAGTGTGAAATTAAATAAAAGCCTTCAAAGTTGACAGACACCTTCAAATATGTTCATTACTTTTCCCTGTACACACCTGCCTCATAGGACTCCTTCTCTCCACATTATACCTATCACTTTTATGGGAGCTTCTCCGGGGATGGGAAGTAAAGGAAGACTACTTTTTAAAAGTATGTGAGAAGTTGAAGCCAGTGGAAAGGGTAGAAGATGTGAAAGCAAAATCAAATTCGATATGTAACTACAGTAAAGACTGGTGGAGCTGCCGCTCAGTAAAAGCACCTGTACCGGCACTCGGCGTTGGCCACTGTGCAGACCAGATTTCCCTCGCTGGAAAGCCTCTCTCTGCTCCCTCCGAGACCCCGTCTGACAGACCCGATATGGCTGAGATCGAGAAATTCGGTAAGTCGAAATTGAAGAAGACAGAAACGCAAGAGAAACACCCACTGCCTTCCAAAGAAACGATCGAACAGGAGAAGCAAGCGGGCGAATCGTAATGAGGCCAGCGCCGCCAGTGTGCACTGTACATTCCACAAGCATTGCCTTCTTATTTTACTTCTTTTAGCTGTTTAACTTTGTAAGATGCAAAGAGGTTGGATCAAGTTTAAATGACTGTGCTACCCCTTTTCACATCAAAGAACTACTGACAACGAAGGCCGCGCCTGCCTCTCCCATTTTCCGTCTGGCTGGCAGGGAAGGAAAAGAGTTTGCGTGTTGGTGACGGAAGAAGAGGGGTGGGACGACAGTGAAATCTAGAGTCAGTCAAGTGGCCCAAGGTGTCCTACAGGCTGTAAAATGCAGTTTAATCAGATGCCATTTTTTTGTTCAAATGATTTTAATTATTGGAATGCACAATTTTTTTAATATGCAAATAAAGTTTTAAAACCTGGAAAAAAAACCCACCTCTACCCTCATTTCATAAAACCTTTCACTTACTTTTTTAAGCTGCTTGAAATTCCACACTTTTTTCGTCTGAGTTAGTAGAAAGACTGTTCCAAAAAAGGAAAAGAAAATCTCTCAAAAGGTAATTTGATATCACAGAGAAAATAGGCTTCTAAGTCGTAGTAGGCAAAGTTAGGTCTAACTCTGCATGGTGGCTGCATGAATTAAGCAAGTTATTGTTCTCTCAAAGCAAGTTATTCGCTTATAAAATGACAGCAAATAATTCTACTGACAGGAGTGTTTGGAGGATGAAATGTGATAAAATATCAACTACTCCTAAGTCAGCATTTCCTGAATAGTATCTTTTTGGTCATTCTAATAGAGTACTCAAACAGATGTTCACATATCAGAGTGTAAGTCACTACAAAAAGTTATTTTCCTTGTAGCAAATGACTTGAGTACAGCAGCTCAAAGGGAATCTCTCTCTCTCTTTTTTTTTTTTTTTTTTTTGGTGAAAGGAGAATTAGCATTTGGTTCTGTAAGAACTCACTTTCAGGGATGGGCCCTAGACTAGGAAAAAGGAAGCAAAACTTTTTGGGTGAAATATCTCGATGGAATTCAATGCCTTAGCACCTTTGTTCGGGTTACTTTAGGAGTTAAGTAGACTTGTAGTTTGGCCTGAAAAGCTGACCAATAATTCCTTTTTCAACTCAGATAGTGTATTCCGAACTTCTTTATGAAGACTTATGAGAACATAAACGGTCTATAAATTGCCATTTGTGTAATAGTCACATGCATCTACATCTGTATAATGGTAACACATATCTACATGAAAACAGAAAAACAGCCCTGAAAGACAAAAGATTTGGAGCCTCTAGATAAAACAATAAAAGCCATATTGTTGACTTTGGAGCAGCCAAAGTAGCTGCCTTCAGGGAAGACTTACCTAAAAATAGAAAGATCCTTGTGAAGTAGGAGCGTCCATAATGTCTTCAGCTTGATTCAAGCCAACTTTGAACACACCCATATAGAAGTCACCAGCTTAGAGCTCTGTTACTGAGGAATTGCATATCCTGACTCTGATCAGTAACAGTCCACACAGCTCTCTGTGTTCCTCCATGTGCCTGTCTTTCAGTCTGCAAGACTACAGAAACAAAAGTCACAGAATCATCTGAATTACCAGCATGTTTTTATTGTCATCTTTAGGAAAAGCATGCCATGAATATGTCCTTCTAAATACCAAACAATCAAGCTTAATGAAGGGGTAGTGGATATGATAAATTGATTTCATGGAGATTATAGATTGTGTCACTCTGAATAAGTATCATCTACACTTGCCTTTCATTAAAAGAATGCCAGGATCCTATTAGGACATGATCAGGCTTACTTTTCACTTTCTTCCCATTTTAACTTCCAAGAGTTCACTTTGTATTTCCAAAATCATTGCTTGAATAAAATATCCCTTGGTTTTCTTTTAATTCTATGCTTAACATAGAATTCCATTTTCACGAAATAGTTCCCCACCGTTGTTCCTACAAAAATTAAAGAAGATTTAAATCTTTCTTTCATGCTCTCTTTGAAGGCTATCGGTTTCTGTTCATTTTCATGAAAGTCATAATATCTTCAGTTGTGGTAGGTAGAATTCTAAGATAGCTCCCAAGATTCCCACCCTCTGGTGTACATATGCCTTCACCCAATAATTTAATCAAACTCTAATCTAAGGCAGCTATGATAGTTTACAGGTATAATAAAGGTCCCAAATTAGCTGACTTTATCCTTGGTGGGTCTACCTTAATCAGGTGACACCTTTAAAGAAATGAAGGAGAGTGATTCAAAGTGTAAGAGAGATTTTATGTACAGGAGGCTCTCCATTTCTGGCTTTGAAGATGGACCGGCCACCTGGCAAGGAACAATGGCATGTGGGATCTGAGTGAAGCCTCTGACTCACAGCCAGCAAGAAAACAGAGACTTCTGTTCAACTTCAAGAAACTTAATTCTGCCTAATACCTGAGTGAGCTTGTAACTGCTAAATGTGTGGTAATTTTTTACACAATAATAGAAAATTAACACACCTGTGTTTGTTCTACGTGTGCAAGTAAAGCAGGAAAAAAATGCCAGTGCAAATAGTGCACCTCTACTTTCAAAAAGGCTAGATTCCAAAAGACTTTACTGGGTGTATGTCTTTTCAAATCTGAAGTGATATTTTGCAGATGGCTGACACAACCTCTCCAGAATGGAAAGGCGATGATATATTTTGCTTTTATGTATTGCCTATTTATCTTCATAAAAGCTGGCAGTAAGTTGGAAATGTATTCATATGGGATTAAGTCGCTGTGGTTTAACCTGTGACTATGGCAGTTTTTGTGATTTGGCATTGTACACCTTCTGTATTATCCAAAACTTTCCTCAAAAGGAGAAACAGTCTAACTGACAGCTATCACCCCAGTCTGTTGGTCACCACTTCCCTCCAGATGCTCATAGCTCCCTCTGTGGGATTTCAAGCTATTACTGCCACAGTGCTTGAGCACTGTGTCAGTGGGTGTTGAACAGCTCTTCTGCCATGATCCCACGGCTCAGTTTCTAAAAGTGTGAGTTTATGCATATCTTGGTGGTGGAGGATGTGATTCTGTCATCTACTTTCTCCATTTATCTTACTCCGAGGAACTGCTCCGATGGGAAGATAGATTTAAAGCTTGTAAGTTTCCTCGAGTTCTAACCTTTTCCTTTGATTCTTTTGTGTTTTAGAATGACTTGGAGACATACTAAGATTCTCTGAGAAAATGAAGGGTTGAACAACTAGAGAAATATGAGTGACTGAGTAAGATGAATACATAAATTATAATCAAGAATTCAAATGCAATCAATGGAGAGGCACTGAGAATAAATTTGTTTTCTAAAAGTTAGAAGATCTGAGTTTGAGATAGCTACTAGGTTCTACTATATTGGAGGAATCAATAATCTCTGAACCTCATTCTCCTCATATGGAAAGTGATTCAATTATACTAAACAGTCTCTAAGGTCACTTCACTTCTGAATTTAAGTCTTAAACCATTTAAGAGGTTGGGTAATTCCATGGGGCTTCTCTTTTGTTATATTTGAGTGTGCTAGTCTTGTCCATAAGAGAAAATGATGCTCTTTCATAGCTAGATTTCTAGATTCTTTTTAATCAGTCAATGCACACATCACCAATATTTACCCAACAGAATTCAAGTCTCTCAAGTTCCATAGTTCTGTTGGCTAAATGTATGACTTATGTGAAAACTATTATCTTTTTTACTACTTAGGTACATAGTTTTTACCTTTTATCCTGGCATTTATATATAAAAATAGTTTTATATTCAAGAGAAAAATTTCTTGCAAATCAACCAATATTTATTAAAAGTATAATTAGCATAAAACATTGCAATATATACCGAAAAGAAAGTATGAGAATTATTCCCTGCTTCGAATGAATTTGGATTATCAATAATATGCACACAGAAAAAGGTAAACTCTGAAAATGGATAAATAAAATTCACTACAATAGCAAGTTGTAGAAAACAAGCACTAGATTTAGATGACCTGGGCCCTTCTAAACCACTTGATGCTAACAAATCAGGTATCCTCTCTCTGTCAGCCTCTCTTATGTAAGATTGATATAATGTCTGCCCAACTCTCATACATTCATAAAATTCTTACTCTGTACCAGGCATCTGTTAGGTGCTTAGTCCAGCCCATAGAGAAGTTTCAGTTGCCTGCAGATGAACATACATACACACAAATACTTAATTCGACAATAGTGACAAGCACTATTGTTAACCATATGGTGCTAGAAGAAAAGCAGGGTTATTTTTTTCTCCAAAACTGTGGAAATTTTTTCTTTCCTTGATATGATGCAATATAAAATACATAGCACCACACTGACATACTCTTGCCAAATGAATTTAACCAATATCTAATTAAGGATTTAGATTTAAAGGAAATCTAGCTTACAGGAAAAGAGGGAGAAAGAAGAACAAGTTAAATGACACAAGAAAGAATTTAGACAAATCCAGAAGGTAGAACAGTTTAAAGGACAATTGGCTGGGTCTCTTCAACAGTCAGTGTTATTAGAAACTAAAAAGGAAGCTGGACTCTTTTAGATCAAAAAAGACTTAAAGGACATAGCAACCAAGTGTACTACATGGTTACTGATTATGTTCTGTTCTGTATAAACCATCTGCAAATATAGTGAAGGCAATAGAGATAATTTGAAAATGGGCTAGGTATTAGAAGATATTGGAGAAGTATTATGAATTTTTTAAGATTGTTAACATGCATTGTAGTTATGTTGGAAATATCCTAATTGTTTTTAATCCTGATTTGGTGAAAAGTCACAGTGTCTTATTTCACATAAAATACAGGAACAAAAAAATGAATGAACCAAATAGAATAAAAATGTTAACAATTGATTTAAATGATGTGTTGTATATATAGGTGTTCAATTATATTATCCTTTTTAGTTTTCTATGGGTCCGAAAATTTTCATAATAAAAATTCAGGAACAAGAGATAAAAAGTAAATGAGATAATAGATATTAAGCCATTTTGTGAACTCTCAGAGGACACACATATTAAAGAGATAACAAAGTGTTATAGAAAGGAGGAATTGTTCTTTTTCAAGCACATGTGCTACCTTGGACCCCACTGCCGAGAGAAGTCAGGCCTGATCCTCACAGAAAGGCTACCAAATATCTCTAGAAATAGAAAGCAGTAGTAATATTATGATTCCCAGATCTGGACCTTTTTAAAACTTTCCCTCAGGTCAAGATGACCTTGACCAAAATTAAAGACAAATGACTTCTTGCTGGGCAAGGCAGGCTAGAACAACTTGAACTCTTCCAAGAAGAACCAGAAAGCCTGTTATCATTACTTGTTACAATGTGAGAGTAACTGGTAGAGACTTTCTTTTTGCAGAGCAGTGGGATCTGGTACCCAAAGCAGAGATCTGAAGCCATGGATGACTGCCCTTCTTGTTGTGTTATTACTGGCAGTGGTGGCAGTGACCATCGGTCTTCTGGCTCACTTCTTAGTCCCTGGTAAGTAAAATTAAGGACTTCACTCAGTTTGTTTTATTATTCTGCAAAGTTTCATTTATATATATGCATATAATTTCATCACCCCAAAATTGTACATTTTCATGTACATGACCACATTCAGAATATTTTTAATTTATTCAGTCATCCCATCAAAATAATTACTAAAGATCTATTATATGCAAATACTGTTCTGGGTAATCAGGATATAGCAGTAGGTAAAGTGGACACATTTCCTTGGCACTCCCAATTTACTAGTGATAAAATACACAATTTCCATCATTTATTTTATGTTAAAATAGATGGGTTTTTTGAACTATGATAAACTAGTCATTAAATCGGCTATTAAAATTGGCTATTTTTTTTTTTTTTTGAGTTGGAGTCTCACTCGGTCGCTCAGACTGGAGTGCAGTGGCCGCTCCCGGCCACCGCAGCCTCACCTGCTAGGCTCCAGCGATCCTTCCGCCTCAGCCTTCCGAGTAGCCGGAATTACAGGCATGCACTACCACGCCTGGCTAATTTTTTTTTTTTTTTATTTATTGTAGGGATGAGGTCTCGGTGCCCAGGTGGGTCTTGAACCCACGGGCTCAGGCAATCCACTCACCTCAGCCTCCCAAAGACGCGGGATTACAGGCTGAGCCACCGAGCCCGGCTAAAATTGGCTCTTTTATGCATGATCATCATTTTATGTCCACCAGCATTTCTTTTTTTTTTTTTTGAGTTGGAGTCTCATTCTGTCACCCAGACTGGAGTGCAGTGGTCGCTCCCGG